GCCAACTTGGGCCAGTGAAGCAACGTCCTCCACAACTAGACTGAAGAACAAAAGGACAGCAACTTGTCTGTTCCCCTTCCTCCAATTCCCCAGCACTGTTCCCATCCCCCTAATTCCCCAATAAAAATCTTTTAAAAAAAAAGTTAAATTTGCACAAAATGAAATCGCTAATGTGGGAGCTCATTTGCCTTCCAACAGATAGGAGAGGCCAGGGATACAAAATACTTGGTGTATTGGGAGGCAAGGTCACCAGGTGATGGAGAATGGGAGAAATGGGGAGATGGTGGTCAAAGGATACAAAATGAATAATTCTGGGGATCTAATGTACTGCACAGTGAGCAGAATTAACAATACTGTATTCTATACTGAAAAGTTGCTAAGAGAGGTGTCTGGGTGGTTCAACTGGCTGGAGTGCGTGCTCTGAACAGCAGGGTTGCCAGTAGATTCCCACATGGGCCAGTGAGTTATGCCCTCCACAACTAGATTGAAGACAATGACTTGAGCTGAGCTGCGGCTGAGCTGCTGGTGGGTGGCCAGATGGCTCGGTGGGTTGGAACGTGTGCTCTTGACAACAGGGTTTCCAGTTCGAATCCCACATGGGATGGTGGGCTGTACCCCCCGCAACTAGATTGAACATGTCACCTTGAGCTGAGCTGCTGATGGGTGGCCAGATGGCTCAGTTGGTTAGAGCACATGCTCTTAACAACAAAGTTGCCAGTTTGACTCCCGCATGGGATGGTGGGCTGCGCCCCCCACAACTAGATTGAAAAAACTGCGACTGGACTTGGAGCTGGGCTGCACCCTCCACAACTAAGGCTGAAGGACAACAACTTGACTTGGAGCTGATGGGTCCTGGGGATAAAAGAAAACAACAACAAAATACTGTTATCCAATAAAGTTTAAAAAAAGTTGCTAAAAGAGTTGGTCTTAAATGTCCTCACCACAAAAATGAAATGATAATTATGTGATGTGATGGAGGTGTTAGCTAGGGCTACAATGGAAATCATTTTGCAGTATATAAGCGTATCAAATCAACACACCATACACCTTAAATTTACACAATATTATATGTTAATTATATCTCAATAAAGCTGGAAAAAAGGGCGATGTACTGCAATGAAAATGAGATAGTCAATAGAAAGTTTGATTTGAAATATTTGACTTCCCATGCTTGACGAAATGGTGATAGGGGTCTAAAACCAAATTATCTATCTATCTAATGTATACTTTCTATGCTTCCATCCATCAATCATTTATTGATATAAATATAGATATATAGATATAGGTGATATAGGTATAGAGAAAGAGGTAGATACAAAGGTAGGGGTTCTTTCTTTAGAGATAATGAATAGTTCTTGAGAAAAATTCTCTATGTTCTAGCATTGAGATAATCCCCAGTGTAAGAGTATACTGCCTGCCTGATCAAGTCTAAGTGGATATACTCAGTCCATGAATTACAGAGAACACATATGGGTCCATATCAGGTAAGGCTACAAGGCTTTTAACTGATGATCCAATGAAGAAAAGTCTCTGTATGGCACCCATCTTATACTCTGCCCCAGGTCCTGCCTTTTGGATGTGAGATTTGGTCCAAAGAAAGATTAGACAATGGTTGAGGAAAGTGCTTATTTCTAATCTGAAACATAAACAGGAAGATTGCTCTCCTCTTGGACTCTATCCAAGAGCTACCCACAACTAAGTTTGTTGGGAGTGAACCAATCCTTGTGGGGCAATAAATGTAGAAATTCTCTGATGTCAGGCTCTGACATCATACTTCCTGTGGATCTTAATGTCTTGTAAGAGTCTGCTAATGTGTACTAACAAGAGGCACCCTGGACTGAGGCTGTGTCAGAATTATGGCCCCCAGAGATACCACCCTCCTCTGTCTCAGTGAGTCCTGAAATGCAAGTGGGTTAGAGGAGAAGATGAGGGAATCCCAAAACAGTCAGGGTCCCTCTTAACATGAAGACTCATTAATCTTAGTGGCTTCCAAGAATATTCTTATCTTCTTACTGGAGAGATCATCTTTGACCAAATATCTATAACCATGTCTGTCCAAGTCCAAACTAGCTTGTGGGGCTCAGTTGTCAAGTTGACCTTGTGGGGTTCATTCAACTCATGCCATGCTCTCTGGGAACGCATGATGGTTCCAGAGTTCCTACAAATGAAAGCCTCAGGGGCTGGAATCTAGAAGGTAAAACTAAAAATGAGCCTCAATGCTATTTTTGTTGTGGAGGTAAAAAAATGGCATCTTGTATGTCATTATGTAGGTAATTTATAATAGAGATTGGAAACTGAAGAATTGATTTTTCATGAATCTCTCTCTTCTAGTGCTCTGTCTGGTCCAGAAGATTCAGGCACAGGAAGGTAAGTGTTCCCCTAAATCTCCCCCAGCCCCCTTCTACCCTCATGGCAGCTCTGGAGTAGAAGGGCTGGAGAGAGAGTCTAAAGCCCAAATGAATTCCAATTTTATTCCCCATTCTAGTTATCTCTGCTGTAGCCCCCTCACATGATTTCTGTCTCACTTTGGTATCTCCAGATCCCTCAAACTCATCATCCTCAGAGCTGGATTTAGCCTTTGCCTCTGTTAATCTCTCTGCCTGTCAAAGATGTGTATTTACTGAGTGTTCACAACTGCAGTTTTAAGGAAGTTTGGGGCCATCTTTGATTGCCCAATATCCTTTCCTATATTGCACATATTTGTTGTCACAACCTAACTCTCCCCAGTCTATGCATTTTGCTTCATTTAAAGATATGCTGCCTTAGTCCAACCCTGTTGCACAATCTGTGTATTTTTCCATACTACTACAGTACTAAACACTGGGTATTACTAAATTACTACTTTATTTTCTGTCACCCCAACTACTGCCTTGGCTTTCTAATAGGTTTGACCCCATATTCATCCATGTCTTCTTCCAGCTCCTTCTAAAGACTGTAGCCTGAATTACTAGTGTCTTTAAAATACAAATATTTTATCTCTTTTTTCCCCCTATTTTTTTACCTTCTATTGATTTTTTAAATTAGTTTCAGGTATACAAAACAATGTAATAGACATTTACATCCCTCACAGAGTGATAACTCCCCTCCCCCAATCTATTACCCCTCCCTTTTCTTTTTTTAATTGTTTCATTAAATTTATTGGGGTGACAGCAGTTAATAAGATTATATAAGTTTCAAGTGTATAATATTATAATACATCATCTGTATATTGCATTGTTTGCTCATCACCCAAGTTTAGTCTCTTTCTATCACCATATATTGGACCCCTTTAGCTCTCTTTAATCTCATCCTACACCCCTTCCTCTCTGGTAACCACCATATTGTGTCAATGAGTTTTTTTGTTTGTTTGATTGGGTTTTTTTAATTCATTTGTTGCTTTCAGTTTTATATCCCACATATGAGTGAAATCATATGATTCTTCTTCTTTTCAGTCTGACTTATTTCGCTCTGCATGATATTCTCAAGATCCATCCATGTTATTGAAAATGGCAGCATTTTATCCTATGGCTGAGTAATATTACATTTTATATAAGTATCCCATCTTCTTTATCCGTTCATCCATTGAAGGACTCTTGGGTTGTTTCCATGTCTTGGCTATTGTGAATATGCTACAATAAACACAGGGATGCATATATCTTTATGAATAAATGTTTTCAAAACTTTCAGGTGGATAACCAGAAGTTTTATCTCCCTTTTGAAACTCCTTAGTAGTTTATCTTCAGGTAAACTTACTGATTTCCCCAGGTACCCCAAGCCCTGCCCACCCTGGCTTGTGTCTGCTCCTCCAACACATCTTTCATTCTCCCCCTGAGTCTCTGCTTTTAGTTTTCTCCTTCACTCACTGTGCTTTATTAACTCGGGGACTTCTCCCATTACCCCTTCAGTCTGAGATGCTTCAAACCTGTCTGTCCACATTGCCTAGGCAATTTCTACTCATTCTCATATGTCAGCTGAACGCTCACATCTGTTATCATATCTCTGAGTTCTACACTTTTGTACTGCAGGCCACACATCATCATCTATAATCATATACTTGTGCATTTTTTAAATTAAGATCTGACATTTCCTACATCATCATTACCTTAAAGGTATTAACCAGGTCTATTTAGGTCAGAGTTTCTCAACTTCAGTGTTAATGACATTTGGGACCAGATAATCTTTTGTTTTGGGGATTGTTCTGTGCTTTATGGGATGTTTAACAGCATCCTTGCATCCTTGGCCTCCAGCCATTAGATGCCAATTGTACCTCCTGTCCCAATTGTGACCACAAAAATCATCTCCAGATATTGTCAAACTGTCCCCTGGAAAGCCAAATCACCCCATGTTGAAAACCACTGGTTTAGATCATGAGAGTAGATAAACAATGTGTCTGGGTTAATAGAAGCATCTCTCCATATATTTTGAAACAACAAATGCATAGCTGTATTAGTGAATGAATTATGCTGAATGTAAGGAAGTCCAGCAGGGTTTGTCTTGCTTGACAACAATCCTCATGGGAACATCCCCTTCACAGAGCTGTATTTGAGCACATTGCTATCAGGTCTAAAATAGATGATACACCTTGACAAAGGGAACCAGCAGCTTTTGAGTGTCCCTCCCCCTGTTTGCTAGTTTCTGAACTAGGGTTAAAGCTGACAGCAGAAGTCATTTTTTTTTGCAGTAAGATATTTATTATTTATTTATTTGTTTATTTGTTTGTTTATTTATTTATTTATTTATTTATTTTACAGGTTTTTTTCTTTCTTATTAAATTAGTTTCAGGTGTACAAACCAATGTAATAATTAGACATTTACACCCCTCACAAAGTGATAACCCCCTCCCCCAATCTACTACCCTTCTGACATCATGTATAGCTGTTACAATTTCATTGATTCTATTCCCTGTGCTGTACTCATCCCATGACTATATAACTATATAACTATATAACTATATATATATATATATATATATTCAACTATCACTATATATATCAGAAGTCGTCAAATGCAAAATCATTTGCTCAAAGCTACTCAGCATGAATGGATTGGTGCCAGTGAGATAACCAACACCTTCTTATAGCCCCCAATTCTTTCTAAATCCCTTTCTATCCTAAATCTTGCTCTTGGGGCTGTTTTATTGCTAAGTTAAAGCCTCTTGGCTTTCTCTCACAGAAGTAATCATCAAAGTCACCAGACACTTGTGTTAGCTGTTTGTCACATTGCATTCTATAATTGCTTCAGGATGGAGAGCTCTCCCATCTGCAAAGGAGACAGCACAGAATCTGGGTGAGATATTCCTAGTTTCCAAACCAGGTTTGGCCACTCTTTGATTCGTGGTCTTGAGCAATTGGCATGGTTTCTCCAACTTTCAGCACCCTCACCTTAGAGTGAAGAGCAGAATTGAGTGTTGATAAAAATTACCATGGCAACAAAACACTAAGCAAACTTCATGGCAGACTAGGAGTTGTTAAGGGCTGAGAGGAGGGTAGAATGGGGAGTGACTGCTTAATGTGTATGAGGGAATAAAAATGGAACTCGATAGGCTGCACAATATTGTGAATGTACTAAAATAACACTGAATCATACACTTTAAAATGGTTAATTTTATGTTATGTGAATTGCACCTCAATAAAATTTCACCTCAATAGTATATATTATTACTGAGGTGAAATTTGGTTCCTCAAAGAGCTCTTCATTTCCTCAAAAACTAAACATATGATCCAGGACTTCTACTCCTATGTATATAACCAAAGTTATTGAAGGTAGGGACTCAAACAGAAATGTGTACAGCCATGTTCATAACAGTATTACTCACAATAGTCAAAAAGAAACCTAAGTTTCTATTGACATGAATGGATAAATAAAATGTAGTCCATTCATACAATGGAATATTATTCAGACATAAAAAGGAAGGACATCCCTACACATGCTACAACATGGGTGGACCTTGAGGACATTATGCTTAGTGAAATACATCAGACACAGAAAGACAAATATCATACTATTTCACTGATATGAGGTTCCAAGCAAATTCATAGAGACAGAAAGTAGATCAGAGGTTACCAGAGGCTTAGAAAAGAGGGGTGAGGAATTACTACTTAATGGTTGTAGGGTTTCTGTTTTGAGTCATGATGATGGTGTTAAACAATATGGTGAATGCAATTAATGCCACTGAGTTGTACACTGAAAAATGGTTAAAATGGTAAAATTTATGTACATATATTTCACTGCATTAGAAAATAACTCCCAAAAAATCATTTTAAAAGAAAGTAATTATAGGTCCTTCACACCTTTATATATTTGTGTTTGCCCACAGAGAAGGAAAGAAGTATAGTTTTCCTGTGGCAGCCCAACTGTCTGGGTTCTATTTTCTTCCAGGGGAGCTTCCCATTCCTAAAATATCTGCTGTGCCTAGTTCTGTGATTCCCTGGAATGAGTCTGTGAAGATTCAGTGCTCTGGAATACCTGAGTCTTACCTGTATCAACTGGAGATCCTGAGAAATTCCACATCCACAGTGGTGGAGAAGAGATGGGGATTTCATAAGGTGGTTGAATTCGCCATTAAGCACATGGATACAAACACTGCAGGGCGTTATCAGTGCCAATATAGGAAAGAAGTCAGCTGGTCAAAGCATAGTGAAGCCCTGGAGCTGGTGGTGACAGGTGAGGAGATGGCCAGAGTCCCCAGCCCTTGGGTGTTTTTTCCTTCTTATTTTTTCATAGACTTGATTTTTAGAACAGTTTCAGATTTACAGGAAAATTGAGGAGCTATGGCAGAGAGTTTCCCTATACCCAGCACCGAGCTTTCCTCATTGTTCACATCTTCTGTCCATATGGTAGATTCCTTACCATTAATGAACTAATATTAATATAGTATCATGAGCTATAGTCTGTAGGTTATTTGAATTTCCTTAGCTTTTACTCGATGTCCTTCATCTATTCCAAGGTATCATCCTGCATTGTATGTAGTTGTCCTCTCTTCTTAGGCTCCTCCTCTGGGCTGTGGAAGTTTCTCAGACTTTCCTTGTCTTTGACGACTTCAGCAGCTTTGAGGAGCATTGGTCAGATACGTTGTTGGGTGTCCCACTATTGGAAATCGTTTGATGTTTTACCTATGACAAGACAGAAGCTCTGGGTTATTGTGAGGAAGACCACAGAGGCATGATGCCATTTCCATCATATCATATCAAGGGTACATACCATAAAAATGAATATGGCTGTTGACGTTGACCTTGAGCACCTGGCTGAGATAGTGTTCATCAGGTTTCTTCAGTATAAAGTTATTCTTCCTCCCACCTACCCTTTCTAAATTGAATTAGATCACTATATGCAGCCCATACTTAAGGAGTGGGGAACTATGCTGCCCCAGCCTGAGCCCAGTCCTTAGTTTTAAGCTCTGTCCTTAAGATAGCCTGGACCCTGTGTTTCTAGAATGTGCACCCTGGAATTCCAGGTCCTTTTATACCTGCTGACATTATTCTTACGCAATGTCACCTCCTTCAGCCCCTGACATAGCTTCTCAAACTCTCAGGATATCACCTCCCGTTTTCCCAACATATGGCTTGTGATATTGTGATTTTTTTAATTAAAGTTTATTGGGGTGACAATTGTTAGCAAAGTTACATAGGTTTCAGGTGTACATTTCTGTAATACATCATCTATATATCACATTGTGTGTTCATCAACCAGAGTCAGTTCTCCTTCCTATGCTATATATTTGATCCCTTTTACCCTCATCTACCAACCCCTCTTCCCTTACCCTCTGGCAACCACTAAACTATTGCCTGTGATTTATATTAAGAAACATACATTTTTCTTTGTCCAGTTTCTGACACAAAGCTCCTAAAACCCTTGGAACTTACTAAGTGATAACAGTGATAAAGGTGTCTTGATATTCCTAACAAACCCCTTTTCAATGACACCTGAGTCTATATGAATGAGGTTATTTTGGAAAGCACCTAATGATGCCAGGGGAACCAAGCATGTCATTGGAAGGTTGTCACTTTCAGTCTCACCCTTCAACCTCCTTGGAGAAGAGAGAGGTTGGAAGTTGAATTCAATCACCAATAGCTAATGATTTAATCAATCATGCCTATGTAATGTAGCCTCCATAAAACCCCAAAAGGATGAGATTAAGAGAGCTTCTGGGTTGGTCAACACATAAAGACTGGGGACAATGGCATACCTGGAGTGTGCATGGAAGCTCCACACCCTTTCCCCATACTTTGTCCCATGCATCTCTTCTATCTGGCTGTTTCTGAGTTATATTCTTTTAAAATAAACCAGTGATCTAGTAAGCAACATGTTTCCTAAGTTCTGTGAACTACTCTAACAAATAAATTGAACCCAAGGTGGGGGTCATGGGAACCTCCGATTTAAGCTGAAGAGTCGGAAGCACAGACAACAACCTGGGCTTGATGTTGGGAGTGGGAAGCTATCCTGTAGGACTCTGCCTTTAACCTGTGGTATCTGATGTTTTCTCTAGGGAGATAGGGTCAGATGAAAGTTAAACTGTGGGACACACAGCTGGTATCTCAGAATTGCTTGGTGGTGGTGTGGGGACGTTGTATTGGTGACAGAATCATATGTCTCTTCTCGCTTTAGAGACCAAATCTCTATCTTTCATCTAAGCTATAAGGGCTGCTTGTTTGCCTGGCCTTGTATGCAATAGTTTGGGACAAAGTATGGGTCCTGTGGTAGTGAAATGGAATGTTCCCAGCTCCCATTCCCTTGCAGCAAGAAATGTCAGGGGCCGGCTGAGTGGTGCGATGGTTAAGAACTGTCTTGGGATGCCAGAGGGCCCCGGTTCAGATCCCACATATGAGGGCCAGTGACACAGCCCTCTACAGCTAAAATGCTGAACAACAGCTCAACCTGGAGCTGGGCTGCCGTGAGTCACCGGTGACGGCGTAGGCTGCAGCCCCTGTGGCAGTGGGTTGCCATGGGCTACCGTGTGTAGCCAGCAGCCAGCGTGAGTGGCCCTCAAGCCGCTGTGAGCAGCTGTCCAGAAGCCGGCGACTGATGTGCCTCACCCGGGAAGAGCGCAATGATGGTGCCAACTTGGGCCAGTGAAGCAACGTCCTCCACAACTAGATTGAAGAACAAAACAACAGCAACTTGTCTGTTCCCCTTCCCCCAATTCCCCAGCACTGTTCCCATCCCCCCAGTTCCCCAATAAAAATCTTAAAAAAAAAAAGAAATGTCAGCATCTTTTCTTCTCTTAGCATGGATCCAACATAAGTTGCAGGGATAAAGGGAACAGGGAATAAAATCTTGCTAATATCTCACTCTCTTCTTCCCTTTTAGGCTTGTATGACAAACCCTTACTCTCCACTGATCAGGGCCTCGTGGTGATGCCAGGAGAGAACATTTCCTTCCAGTGTGGTTCAGCACACATCCCACTTGATAGATTTTTACTGACCAAAGAAGGAACATCTGCTTTGCCACAGCACCAAAATGGGCAACACCAAGGCAGCTTCACTCTGGGTCCTGTGAACCTCAGCTTCTCAGGGAACTACAGGTGCTATGGTTGGCACAGTGGCAACCCTTATGTGTGGTCAGCCCCCAGTGATGCCCTGGAGCTTGTGGTCACAGGTAGGTTCACCCCAGTCCAGCCCTATGTCCTCTTCCTCTGAGCTCCAATTGGCTGTCCAGAGCCTTGGCATCAGGCAGGAATATGAAGAGATGCACTGAGAAAGAACAGTGGGGCAGTAGAAAGTCTTTACTCAGAGGACCGTGAAGAGAGAAGCACTTCTCACCCACACCATATTCAACTTTCAGATCCTCTTCTAGAGTTCTCCAAACAGTATCCTTTGAAACACATGGTCTGTTGATAAAGGAGAAACCCACGTTCAGAATCAGGTCTGTTGATAAAAAGAGGTCAACATTCAGAATCACATGAAGGGGCATTGTTGAGACAATATACTTGACACATCCTTAAACTGACCCACCTCTCTTTTTCAAATGCTTAGTTGTAGCTGGAAATCCTTAACCTAACCTATAACACATACTAGAATCCACTCTGAATGACTGACTGGGAATTTATGGCTCATAGAAAAGACTTTTTTTTTTTGCTGGTAAAGATCTACTTTTTTTTTCTTATTTTACTTTTCTTAATTGTTTTAATTAAAGTTTATTGGGGTGACGATTGTTAGTAGAGTTACATAGGTTTCAGGTGTACAATTCTGTAGCATATCCTCTATATATTCTGTAATATCATCTATATATTTTGTAATATATCATCTATATATCACACTGTGTGTTCACCACCCAGAGTCAGTACTGACTCTGGGTGGTGAAGATCTACTTTTTTATATTAATTTTTATTAATTTATTGGGGTAACATTTGTTAGTAAAATTATATAGGTTTCAAGTGTACAATTCTATAATACATCATCTATATATTGCATTATATGTTCACCGCCCAGAATCAGTTCTCTTTAAAACTCTGTCATGAACCCCGTTTTTATATTGTTTGTGTACATCATTCTGCTCTGAGGGAGAAAACAATAGTTAGAGCAGATGAAAGCACCTGCTGATTACTGAGCAGGGCAACCACATTCATCTCTCATGTCTGCTTTGTCCAGTCATTCCACAAGCTAAGCAAATATGCTAGCCATGACACTATAAGATCATATAGGCTAGAGAGATCTTTTCCACTAACCGTGTATGGACAATTGAGCATCCATGGGGAAGGAGTGAATTTATCAGCCTTTTCTTTTAGAGTAGTCATGGTATCTTGTTTGAGAAACCATCTTCTATCATCTCTTCAAACTCAAAATATTTTGTATCTTGCAATTAGGAATTAATTTGGAATTTCAAGTCCATTTGGAATTTATTTCTGTATTCTTTTCTTTTCTTTTTAATTAAAGTTTGTTGGGGTGACAATTGTTAGTAAAGTTACATAGGTTTCAGGTGTACAATCCTGTAATACATCATCTCTATATCGCATTGTGTGTTCACCACCCAGAGTCAATTCTCCTTCTATCACCATATATTTCTGTATTTTTAACAGGACAGAGCTACTAGAATTTTTGAGCATTATAATTTCACAATATTTTATTATATCCTTGAGAGTCACAAGGCCCATGTAGTCCATATAACAAATGGAGAAATTTTTTAAAGATTCAAAAATCAGCATTGTCTAGTAAGAGGTCACATGATAGTGGAGATAAATTTTACCTAAGTTTACCTGAAATTTTTCTCCTACCTTCTTCCCAGATGCTGTAATATCCTTTGTCTTGTATGAGAGAAGAACACAATTTGTTGTGTGGGGTGAAAAATGTGTAGAAGAGACAATTTATGGTTCCAGATATATAGAGGTGCATGATTACACATTCAGTGAAATCACTACATAAGGAAGGAATAAAAAGCAAACACAACCTCCCCAAAACCACCTTCTTCCCCATGTATAAGACTCCCCCCAGTTTCCCACCCACTGACCCAAGCTTACAGACCAAGTATGATACTCATAAATGCATGAGCTCATTGAGGAAGGGGTCCCAGTGGAACCACAAATAGAGAAATGAGCTTCCATTTCAGGGCTCTGGGGTTGGTGTTGAATGGAACATGACAAATGATGGCTCATCCCATTTTTTTATTATTAGTTTCAGGTGTACAAAGCAATGTAACAGTTAGGCATTTACAGCCCTCACAAAGTGATAACCCACCCCCTCTCAATCTACTACCCCTCTGACATTGTATATAGCTGTTACAATACCATTGACTATATTCCCTACCCTGTACTTTACATCTTTTTAATTGGGTTGTTGGAAAAGTCATGATGTATCTTTTCTATGTTTTTCGTTGCAAAAATGCATCATGAATTTTCCAACAATCCAGTACTTCAGCTTCAGGTGTATAGCGCAGTGGTCAGGTATCTACACTGTCCATGAGGTGATCCCCCCAAAAGTCCGGTACCCTTCTGGCACCCTGCATAGTCTTTACAACATTATTGATTATATTCACCATACTGTATTTTATATCCCTGTGACTATATTGTGACTATTAGTTTGTACATCCCTTTTTAATTATGTCTCTAGATACCATGAACCAAGATTACACGGTGGAGAATTTGATCCGAATGGGAGTGGCAGGGCTGGTCCTCGTGGCTCTCTTGGCCATACTGACAGAAAACCGGCACAGCCATAAGGTGCCACACAAAGGACACTTAGAAGACTTACCTGAACTGACCTTGAGTACACAGAAATGCCAGACAAAATAGACCTTTGGACTACCCCCTAATGATCACCAGGTAGACACTCGGCACTGCAAGTGGAAACGAATCAGCACTTGTGAGGTCCTGCAAAGCTACTTGGAGAACATAAGGAAGAAAGACTCACTAAGAAGCTTGGATCCATTTTCAAGCCAGTCAAATGGTATTTTCTAATATGGATCTGATATATGTGCACCCCACCTTCCTGGATGTTGGTGATAAAATGCTCATTATAGTCTTGGTTTAACTCACTTCCTATGATAAAAATAATGCAAAGCATTCTTCATTCTCCTTGCAAACTGTTTTTCACCCTTCCTCTATATGAGTTCTAGTTCATAACTTCAGTTTGTCTTGACTTTATCAGCAAAACCAAGTGTCCTTACATCATCCTTTATAAGACCCTAACTCTTAGAATTTCATTAATTATTAATACTAATAATAAATTAATTACTAATACTGTTTGCTAAACATACCATGTATTCCATGACATGTGTGCTTCTAGTTTCCCTACACTAAAAAATGTGTATTAACACAAGCTTTCCCCATTGTTAAGAAGGAGAACTGACTCTGGGTGGTGAACACACAATGCAATATATAGAAGATGTATTATAGAAATGTACACTTGAAATCTATATAATTTTACTAACCAATGTTACCCCAATAAATTAGGTTTTTTCCAATAAATTTAATAAAAATTAATTTTAAAACAGAAGATTCCATTTGTTTTTCTTGTTCCTTTGTTGTTTTCAGTTTTATATCTCACATATCAGTGAAATCATGGGGTTCTTGGCTTTTTCTGTCTGACTTATTTCACTTAGCATAATAACCTCAAGATCCATCCATGTTGTCATAAATGGCACTATTTCATCTTTTTGAACACACGCTGTGGTATATAGATGATGTATTACAGAGTTGTACATCTGAAACCTATGTAACTTGACTAGCAATTGTCACCCCAATAAACTTTAATTAAAAAAAAGAAGACTCTCCTGTTCTTATGAAACTGACACATTTCAAAATGCCATATGCCTCCTCCAATGCAAAACACAGTTGACCTTTGAACAACATGGGTTTGAACTGTGTGGGTCCACTTATATGCAGGTTTTTTCTGATAAATACTGTAAATATATTTTTTCTTCCTTATGTTTTTTTCCTTTTATTTTTTTATTATTAGTTTCAGGTGTACTAAACAGTGCAATAGTTATACTTTTCATCCCTCACAAAGTGACAACATTTTTTTCCTCTGACTTACTTTATTGTAAGAATACAGCATATAATACATATAACATACAAAATATGTGTTAATTCACACTTTATGTTATTGGTAAAGCTTCCAGTCAATAGTAGGCTATTGGTAAAGTTCTTGGGGATTCAAAAAGTAAATTTTTTACTCCATGGGAAGGTCAGTACCCCAACCCCCACATTGTTCAATGCTCAACTGTAGATAAATTTATGAAACAAGTGTCTCCTTTAGGCTTTCTCAGCACTTTGAGCTACTGAATCTATTGGTTCATTTTTTGTGATATTCATCCCAAGGTCTAGAAAACCTAAAATATTGGATTTATTTATTGAAATTCTGAATAAATAAGTTGATGGAGTAAATGTTAGTGATTGGGTCAGAAAAACCAACTGGGAAAGGCCACAGTTTCAGAGGAGGGCTAATAA